CCAGTGTGTAGGCATGTGGGAGATTGCCAGTTCTATGGATTATTGCATTAACACAGCCAAGAACCCCACAGCCAATTTATATGAAATTTATTAAAAAATAAACAAGGAAGAAGATGACAATAGGCACAAAGCAGAGTGTTGTTTCAAGGTGAAAAACCCCAAAAGAACCATATACCGTATTTTTTGCACCATAACACTCACTTTTTTCCTCCTAGAAAGTAAGGGGAAATGTCTGTGCGTGTTATGGAGCGAATGCCTACGGATGGCGGGGGGATCTGCTGCAGTCGTGAGCAGAGGATCCATGGTTCCCCTTCCTTCCCTCCTCGCCTTGAAACAGCAAAGTGGAAGAAGAGCCGCTGAGTGGGGAGGAGAGAGGGACAGAGAGCCTGCATGTTTTAAAGGAGCAAAGCAGGAGAGGAGAGGAGCCGCTTACACGAGTCCGGAGCTGTTTCTTTATGCCAGCCGGGGAGGAGGGAGAGAACAGCTCGCTAAATAGCAGCAAAGTTTTTCGCAAGCAGGCTCTCTGTCCCTCTCTCCTTCCCACTCAGCTGGCTAAATAGCAGCAAAGTTTTTCAGCGAGCCGGGGAGGAGGGAGAGAAGCAGAGCCTTTAAAGGAGCAAAGCGGGAGAGGAGAGGAGCCTTCTCCTCTTATACCCCTCTTCTGCATTATTAACAGCATCCTTCTCCACCCACCCCACGCGTGTTCCTTGTCCCTTGAGTGCTTTTCCTTCCCTCCCCACTTAAAACGTGGTTACAAAGCACGGATCCACATGGATCCTCAGGATTTTTGCACTGGGCACCCCAAATTCACCATCAGATCACATAGCATGTCCATGGCTACAGCTTGCACCAAAAAAATCACGCACCCACTGTTGCCTGGGGCCGCAGTGGTGCAAAAACGTGGTTACAAAGCATGGATCCACATGGGTCCTCAGGATTTTTGCATTGGGCTACCCCAAACTCACCGTCAGATCACATGTCTGTGGCCACAGCATGAACCACAAAAATCATACATCCACTGTTTCGTTTAGAATATTTTTTTCTTGTTTTCCTCCTCTAAAAACTATGTGCGTGTTATGGTCAGGTGCGTGTTATAGAGTGAAAAATACGGTAGTTAGAGTCTAGCTATTCTTTCCTTCTCTAATTAAAACAGACTTCTGGTCTCCTCATAAGTAAAACAGCACAGATGGTTAGTTGCAGGTTTTCTGATGGTGAGGGACAAAGACTGTATGGGCACAGTACATTTTAAAATGTTCTGTATCGCAGTTAGTCTTGAGTGACCACTGGTGGTTTCCAGCTAATTACCACCAGGTTTTCCCTGTCTCTGCTAGGCAGTCTAATCTGTAACCCATGGATTTGGAAAAAGACAAGCCTTTCTTGCTAAGACATGGACAGAGATCAGGACCTTTTTGTCACAGCCATTCCTCTGTGCACCATAGCAATAAGTCAAGGATAACCTCTGGACTCGAGGGGTAGTCACCTGAGAGGAAGAAAACAACTGGTCACCGCAAATCGGCACAATCCTGTTCCTCCCATTTACCTGTCCTTTTAAGCCTTGCATGTGATCCCAAGACTGCTCCACCTGCTTTCCTAGCCAATCTGGTGAGTAAGCAAATCCACCCAACCCCAGAGTTTAAATTAACAAAGTTTATTTAAAAGCAATAAAAGAGAGCAATAAAAGAGGCTAACGAAAGAACCTACAGAATTCTAAGAGGCTAACGAAAGAACATACAGAATTCTAAATTGTATACTTAAATTGACTTACATAAGATCAGCATCAGGCTTGCCAGATGGGCAAGGGCCTCTCCCTAGTGATCCATGAGAGATGACATAACACAGTAAATAGCCCTCCCCATCAGGGTGACTAGATAGGGGAATGATTGGCAGATCAATGGAATTCTACCAGTCAGGAGCCATCCAGGCTGGGCAGGGTTTGCTTCTGGTTCACTGAGTGTCTTGGGGTGATTCAGAATGTTTATTACAGCCTAGGAAAAGGAGATGAAAGAAGAACTGGGATGTCAGTTCCCATCTACTATACCTGAGATCTTGTAGTCCCTGGATATTTGTTATCTATTGCTAGCATCCCTCTGTCTTAGTCAGACAACTTTCTCCAAGGTTTCGGAAATAAAAGAGGGGTGATGATATGCAAGATATTGTGGAACCGCTTCCCCAAGTGGAGGAGGTATGACACTGATTGAGTGGTTGTGATTGTTTGTCATCTTTATCTATTGAGAGGGGAGTGATTCTCAAACTGAAAGCATTTGTCCTCATACAGTTAACTGTGATCTGGCTTCAAACACACTTGCACCATGGCGGGATTGCTAAAATAGCTATGGAGAGCTCCAGCTAAGACAGTTTCCTACCACCAAGTGTAAAATGGTGCTCTCCCATTGTTGCAAGGGCACACAATGTTGCAGTGTCAAACCCCAGGAAGAGGATGACATGAAAACTGAGAGCTGCTTCTTCTCTTAACCCTTTCTGAAGATAATTTCTGATCGGAATCAGAGGTAGACCTCTCTTATGGGTGAGCACTAGTCATGAGCTTTCTTTATACCATCTATGGTTTCTGGCCATTAAGTATGTGTGGTCAAGTCAAATGTAGAGTTGCTGCTTCTCTATCTTTCCTTCTCTGCAGGCAGGATACTCTGATCTAACCTGTGACTTGCAGATTTAGTACATTTAGAAATACAGATGTTTAGCCAGACACAGCTCAGGGGCATTTTTCTTTGTCCATAGGATTTGTTGTAGTAACTGGCTGGGCCATAGAATGCATTCTTGAAAGGCTCAAAAAGCAGAAGGTAATTGAAACTGGACTGCAACTCCCATCATCCCTGGGCTTTGGCCATTCTAGCTTGGGCTGAAAGGAGTTGGGAGTCCCAACAACATTTGGAAGCCTCCATGTTTGCTGGGTGATCCTAACTATGAATTTTTTGAAACGGAAAAAATTGCTGCAAACAAAGGAGGGGAGGTTTGAAGTCACAGGCACTAACTAGCTCATCCTCATTTTGCAACTGGCTTCTGCTGCAAATTGTTCTCCTGAGCTTGATCCTGGAGAGAACATTGTACACATGAACCAAATGTGGTCCATAGCAGCCACTGCTTAGTGGCTTCTGTATAAAGGTTTGTGAGAGTCCTTAAATAGTTTCTAGCATCTCACTGATCACAGAAGAGAACAGACCCGTGAGTCACTATTCCTGGTAGTGCACATTCAGGATTTTGGCATACAGCCTTTCATTACCAACTCATTCTGTTCTCATTCTGGTAGTTGTTTATCCTATCAATATCACCTGGAATAGCAGAAGTGCATTTTATCACTGGATCATACTTTTACCTTTGAATCCTTGTTTTATCATTGTCTCTGCTGATTTATTTTACCAAAACAATAAGAAAGTTGCCTGCTGCTACTACTCTGTCTCAGTATGATTCTTCCAAATACATTTATCATAAGATCCCCAGGAGTAATAAATACAGCACAAGTATTAGCCATGTTTTCATAAATGCCCTTTCTCTTCCTCCTGCCATCATTTCCCGCTATGTGAGGAACCCAAGCAGAGGTGTTGAAGAGTTGGTGGGTTGTCATGGGAAGAATACCTATCTGTGGATGTAACTAGCTTTCAGGATCAGGCCAGCAAATGTTAGTGAAAGTCAGTAGATAATTATTATGACAGCTCACTTGTCATTTTCATTTGATGTGTATTATGTCTGGTAGCTTAATTTACCCTGATTTCATGGGTTCTTTCTGAGGTATTTTCACAAATTGGGCTTAAGCTAAATGTGTGTTCTTTGTGTTAAGGAATTTAAAACTTGCCTAATTTTAGGAAAACTTTGCATCATCTTATAACAGTAAACTAGGCAGAATCCTAGGTAAAGGTAAAGGGACCCCTGACCATTAGGCCCAGTCACAGATGACTCTGGGGTTGCGGCGCTCATCTCGCTTTATTGGCCGAGGGAGCTGGCGTACAGCTTCCGGGTCATATGGCCAGCATGACTAAGCCACTTCTGGCGAAATCAGAGCAGCTCATGGAAACACCGTTTAAAATGGGAGCTAAAGTTACTTACAGTGTATAGTAGAATTTTAGCTAAGCTGATGGAAGTCTGCCTGTTTTGCACTGAGAAAATTGGTTTGCTAATTATATATACCACTCCTTTTCCTAATGTGAAAATAAGTATTTAATAGTTAGGCCTAAGCAACTGTCAGAATCATTACAGAGAGACATTATGTCATTTTCTAAAATGTGGCTACCTCTGTTCCTTTTATAATTGAAGTTGTGCGACATTATGCTTCAGTATGCCTATACATTCTTGTAATAGGAGCTGTGGTTCAGCCACAACATATCCAACTAGTTCAAGAGGACAGGGCTCCTACACCTTTGATGTAGAAGAGCAGATTTCAGCAGGTAGAACTTGTCATGTAAGATATACCTGCTTAAATTTGCTCTTTTGCACAACTATTAAAGGTGCAGGAGCCCTGTTTTTTTTCTTCAGTTGGCCACCCTATCAAGAGGATGTGGAATGGCTACTTGTTATATTACCGGAATTGAAAGAAAGTTACCCCTGCTTTTAAAGTAAAAACCCATACAGTATAGGGAACCAATGCAGTACAACTTCATTGGCTTTGAGCTTTCCCAGAATCTGCTGCTGAAGCCCTATTTGTGTTCACAGAAACAGCCATTGTTACACGAGAGAACGGCCAGGTAGAATTAACCTTCCGCTTGAGTAACCAGATAAACTGGAGTGAACATGAGCTGAATGAATGGACACTTTGTACCTGAAAAGGAGTCATGCTGGCTTTCCAGTATATGAGCAAGATGATAATATACACATATAGGGTGTACTGAAACATTCTTGCAGCCTGCTTTCTGGCCTTATACGTATGTATGCAACATCACTGCAACAAAAAATGTAGATGGTTTCTCATATAATTAACACAGTCTTGTTAATCAACTATCTTACCTTTTGTCTATTAATCGTCTGCCATCTAATATAGCCTCAACAAATTTGGACTATGGTACCTGTCCACCCAGCCACTGCTGTTTCTAATTGAATCAAATGCAACATTACAGAATCTGCATGCACATGTGCTGCCTGAGCTTTAAAAGACAAGTACAGCTTTAACACCGGAGGTTTGTGTGTATATATGAGAGATTGAATATACAAGTACATGCACATTTAATCAGTTTCTTGGATTATGTTGCTGGGTAAAGTTGCAGTAGGGGAAGTGTTTATTTGGATCTCCTACACAGAAAGAAATGTTCTGTATAGTGTAACCACTCACTGTGGCATTTTCAGCTTTATTTTCTTCATTACAAGCTGTAGCTTCTCCTGCTTTGAAAGTACAATAAGAAGGAAGTTTGGACTGAACTGGTGTTGTGGAAAATAAAGTTTTGTGCACAAGCCACTCTCTGAATAAATTCTGCTGTGGTAGTTTTCAAGCACCTCTGTAACTAAGCAAGTGCAACTCAAATAGTCCTGCATTCTTATTCTATTTGCTCCTGCCTTTCCTGTTTCTTCTGTGGTCATATTAGATGGTAAGCTCCTTGAGACAGGGACCTACACTTCTGAAATGTAAAAATAATCACAACAGTAGCCGTTTCACAACAGTAGACCTTTGTTTCTTCTAAGTATGGTATGTGAAACAGGACTGCTGCCTTTCTATTTATTTTATTTTTATTGATTTATTAAATGTATATAACACCCTTCATCCATAGATCTCAGGGCAGTTCACAACATACACTGAACAGCACAAATGAGTTGCTCTTGGAGTGACAGATTTTCCTCAGGTTTGGAGGAACCCTGACTGCTAACATGCTTCTTGGAGACCCTTTCTCTTTCCCCACAGCAGCCAAGCTTGTATTCTGTTTCCTCTGTGTGAGCGCATATAGGAAGAATTCTTTTGCTTATATTATTCATTCAGAGAATGCAGTAAAACCGACAAATCCATAAGGGTGATAATAATCCAAGTATTTATGCTGCAGAGTTATCCATGTGTATATTAACAGTGCAGAGCAGTCCAACTCTCCACAACAAATAATGGAAATTGAAGTAAACATTGAAGTTGAAACTAGATTCTCACTTCTGTGCTTATCCTTTTGGAGTAGCATACTGTAGGTTTTTTACCCTGTGTGCTTGCAAATACAGTATAGGAGGGTTTTTTACAGAGATTTTGAAGGGGTTGCAATTTTGGTGTGACTGTTGCTCAGTCTTGATGACAGAAATGACTGAGAATGCCAGTTTCATTTATAAAAATTATCCTAGCAAATGCATTTTTTAAAAAAACCCAGTAAATGTAATCATAACAATTCTGGGTCAAGATAGTGGATTTCTGAGTTTGTGAGGCTGTTGACCCTGAAAGTCAATTTAGCAGCTAATCTTCTGCCGCATGAAAATTACAGGTTTCTCCCAATCTCTTCCAAGATGAACATTTGAAATAATCAAGCCAATACGCTTTCAGTGTGGCTAAATAATTGCTATTTATATTGTAAGAAACTACATAAAGATTAAAAAAGGTGCTCTGCTTCTGCTAACCACAATTTGAGGCAGTAGTTTTCTAGCATATTTTGATCCTTCATGGGGTGATACAGCAAAATTAAGATTTAAGAGAAATTAAACAGTAAAAATCGCAAAATAAAATTGAGAAATTATGCAAATTGGTTCGTTTGCATACTTAATGCCGAACGTAGGTATCAGCTTTTGGTGCAGGATTTTAATTTTTGTAGGACAGATATGTCCATTCCATATAGAGCCTTTAAGTAAACAGTATTTCTGTAGCTGGCTGTTCAGGGGGGCATACATTTTGTTGACATTCATGAGGACATGTTTTACAAAAGAGAAGTAGAGGGAAGGTGATTTAAAATGTTTGTGATCAGCCACACACAGAGAGACTAGTCATTGCAGCTCTTTTCTCCATAATTTCCATAATTAAATAGGGTAAGTTAATGCAATAATTCCCAGTTGCTTAAATGGAGGATAAAGAAACATACACAACTTTGTGGGAAATGTGTACATTGTGGATCCAATAAAGCCTTGAATTTCCCTAACATTTTTAAATAGTCCAAATAGTAGTTAGCCAAAACGGTTGCCTTAAATGGATTAGAGAAAATAATGTAAGATGAAAATTGTGCTTGCTAGGGAAGGCAGGAATATAGTAAAATGGTGGCAGAGCAATAGTACAGTAGGGTGCATTTTAGCCAGGCCAATGTCAAGGATTTCCACACACGTTGGCACCACACATCCCTTTCCATCCTTTATGCTGGCAAGCGGAATACAGCATCACAGGACCCATTGCAAGGAGGGCCTGGAGCAGGGCCTACCGCATAGACAGATTCATCCCTCTGCATTAAGCCATAGTTAAAATAAAGCCTTGACTTGCTTCCCCAAACAAACTGCAGGTGGCAAACCAAGAACACACCTTTGTTTCTGCTTGTGGTTTGTCTGGAGAGAAACAACCCGTGATCCTGGGCTTGGAAGGACACAACAAACCAGGCTATGGGAGGAATTCAGCACCATACTGTTATGATACTTACCATCACAAGCATTTGTGTTTGCCAGATGGAACTATCCCCCCCACCCTCACTCCTATGGGGGTTCTTCTGCCTCCTCCAACCAATTTGAGGGGGCAGGGGAGGAGACTGGGTTATGTTGTGCTAGCAGTTAAGTTTAGTTGAATCTGACCATGTGGCTTGGTTTTTTCCAGCAGCTCAGGTATTGTAGAGAAGTACCTGTGATTTCAGCAACATGTACCAACACACTGCTCATTCACTTTAAACTATAGTTGACTTTTACTATGGTTAAAGTGGTGTGTGAATCAGACCAGTGAGTTGGATCCTGACCAAGGTAATCATATTATCTTGGTTTGGGCACTGTAACTCCTGATCTCCAATAGCAAAAAAAACCCCCTGTGAATATACTTCCACTGTGTAAAGTATTACTGTACTAGATTTTACGTAATTCTTTTCAGTCATCATCATCATCATGTATTATTTATACCCCACCCATCTGGCTGGGTTTCCCCAGCCACTCTGGGCGGCTTCCAACCGAATATTAAAAACAATACAGCATCAAACATTAAAAACTTCCCTAAACAGGGCCGCCTTCAGTTGTCTTTTAAAAGTAAAATAGTTGCTTATTGCCTTGACATCTGCTGGGAGGGTGTTCCACAGGACAGGTGCCACTACCAAGAAGGTCCTTTGCCTGGTTCCCTGTAACCTTACTTCTTGCAGTGAGGGAACCACCAGAAGGCCCTTGGCACTGGACCTCAGTGTCCGGGCTGGACGATGGGGGAGGAGACGCTCCTTCAGGTATACAGTACTGAGGCCGTTTAGGACTTTAAAGGTCAGCACCAACACTTTGAATTGTGCTCAGAAGCAGATTTCTTTTTTACACACACACACACACACACACACACACACACACAATTTCTGTTTCTCAAAGAAATTTCCAATTTTATAACTAATTTAATTCAGACCTTGGTCAAGCTCACAATCGCTCTACATTATTAGTTATTTTCCCAATAGCAGTATTAGGATGCAGTAGCACCTCAGCAAATAAATAAGGTATTTTCTATGGTGGCACAGGCTTGATTGGTACTACCACTAAATTAATCTATATTTCTGTTCTTTAAAGCATGTAATATTCTGAAAGATAGGCTGCTACCCTACATTTTATTAATATCTCAGTCCTCATTTTATAACAAACACCAGACTATTCAAACAATTAATTTAGACAAACTAGCATAATACATGCAAACCTAAGAACATTAAAATAACAGAAGAATGCTAAAACTATACATTGCAAGCCTTCTGAATAACACATCAGTCCTTTGTGTGGAGTGATAGCAGTAAAATGGGGAAGTGGTGGTCTTGCTATTTTGACTTTTCACATAGGTATGATATCACAGTAAATGCTTTTTACATGTTTTCTTACCCATAGTTTGTGTGAACACTGCACATGCACACACCCCTTTGTTTTTCCATTTTATTAGGAGGCCATGTGAAAACATCATCCAGAAGATTGTGCCATCTTACCATCTGTCTCAGCTCTCCCTGTCCTAAGTATCCATATTTTGGGATTTTGAAAAACAAAAATGTGCTTCTTGATATAATTAGCTTACATAGCAAACCAAACAAACAGACAAACCAGTATGCCCCCCCCCCCACATGATTTCTGGATTCAGAACAAGAATACTGTTATTTTGGGGTTAGCTTTGGCTTTGCTTGGAAACTGAATGCACAGGTATTATTAATGCCTTCAGGTGTAAACATTTTCCCCATCTGTGGAAGACTTTGATGTGGGCTCCAAACACCACTTCATGAAAAAAGGAAGCTGCAGTTAAGAGACAAAATGAAACTTGCTTCCTCCTATTGCTGTTGGTGTTGACAACCATTCCACTTCCAGACACTGCATTCTAGCAGAATGAAATCAAGCAGCTAAAGCCTTTCTCCCATTTTATCTTACACATCAGCAATCTGGAATGCTGCTTGGAAGCTGAGCCAAAATTTGACAGTTCTGTCTAACTTTATTATACACAATCTCTTCAAAATAGTTACGCTTAGCACCAAATGGTCATGGCCACATGCCCATAGCCTTTTTATTAAGCTAAAATGATGATTGAGCAACTATCTTAAACTGAACTGGCTACGTGATGCACATAGATTTTACGAGAGTGGGCTGTCTGGCAGCAGAAGTGTAGTCACTGTGAACGTGAATATGATTTTACAAGTTTTTGGATTGTTTACGTCTGAAGTTTGCTTTTCTAATGAACTGTAGTGTTGGGCTTATGCTGCATTCCAGTTCAGCAAAGATGGACTGGAATATTTTCTTAATGTCATTGTCACCGGAATTCTTCCAAAGTAAAACCAGTTCTAAGGCTATGCTCAAGGTTAGGCCAAATAAAAATGCAGTTCAGGGATATTTAGCCTCCTTTGTTTCACTGGCTTCTTAAGGTCAGCATTAGGGATGCATATTGATGTTTTTGCCTGGCCTAGTAAAATTATCTTGAATTTATTGGTAGTTGTAGATTATCGGCTAGAATTCAAACTGGAATAGTTTTAAAGAGACTTTTTGGGAGTGTGACCATTCTGATTGCCTGCAGACATATTGCTTGGCTAAGGTTCAGGCCTCCTTATGTAATGGTATCTTGGAAGGGATGCAGGCCTGGGGTGTTTTTTTTCAGAGCAGGTGTGATTATACTATTGTCTCAGCTCCCAGCTATAATTGACTGGACCTTCCTCACTTTTGCAAGTGAATAAGCTGACGATGAGGCACTTTTTGTGACATATTAGCTTAAAGAAAGTAAGAAATAAGCAGAGGTTGGATCCTTTCTTATTTTTCTTTTATGGAGTTCCTAGTTTAAATGGTAATATTTCTTTGAAAGATGGTTTGCATTTCTAATTTAAAAACCAAAGGGTGAAAATCTTTTTTTTTTTTAATGATATTTATTAAAATTTCAGAAAAAAGAGTTACATAAAAACAAGAAAAGCAAAAACAAAAGACAGAAATAAAAATACAAGAAAAATACAAAATACAGAATAAAAGAATAAAAAACACTTAAGAAAAAAAATATAGATCAATCTTTCCATGCCTTACATTCATATCCTTGTTTCCCTGACCTCCTCATACCTCCCTTTTTTGTATTCCAATTCAATTAGTTAATTCAGCAATTTCTTTCCCTCTTTATTTTCTCTTAATCCTTTAACTTAATATACTATAACTTTAAATTTTCACCTGTTATCAATCCATTTTTACATACACCTATATAGCATTACTGCTTAAACCACCTAACTTCATTCTAACATCATTCTAACATTCATTAATTTTGCAATATTTCTGTAGATAGTCTTTAAATTTCTTCCAATCTTCTTCCACCATCTCTTCTCCCTGGTCTCGGATTCTGCCAGTCATTTCCGCCAATTCCATGTAGTCCATCACCTTCATCTGCCATTCTTCCAGAGTGGGTAGTTCTTGTGTCTTCCAATACTTTGCAATAAGTATTCTTGCTGCTGTTGTGGCATACATAAAGAAAGTTCTGTCCTTCTTTAGCACCATTTGGCCGACCATGCCCAGGAGAAAGGCCTCTGGTTTCTTCAGAAAGGTATATTTAAATACCCTTTTCATTTCATTATAAATCATCTCCCAGAAAGCCTTAATCCTATGGCACGTCCACCAAAGGTGAAAGAATGTACCTTCAGTTTCTTTACATTTCCAACATTTATTATCAGGCAAATGATAGATTTTTGCAAGCTTGACTGGTGTCATGTACCACCTGTATATCATTTTCATAATATTATCTCTTAAGGCATTACATGCCGTAAACTTCATACCTGTGGTCCATAACTGTTCCCAGTCAGCCATCATTATGTTATGTCCAACATCTTGTGCCCATTTAATCATAGCTGATTTCACCGTTTCATCCTGTGTATTCCATTTCAACAGCAAGTTATACATATTCGACAGATTCTTAGTTTTGGGTTCTAGCAGTTCTGTTTCTAATTTTGATTTTTCCACCTGGAAGCCAATTTTCTTGTCCAAATTATATGCCTCCATTATCTGATAATAATGAAGCCAGTCTCGCACTTTGTTTTTTAATTTCTCAAAACTCTGCAGTTTCAGTCTATCTCCATCTTGTTCCAAAATTTCCCAATATTTCGGCCATTTGACCTCCATATTGAGCTTTTTCAGAGCCTTCGCTTCCATCGGTGACAGCCATCTTGGAGTTTTATTTTCAAGTAGATCCTTATATCTTATCCAAACATTAAACAATGCTTTCCTGACAATATGGTTTTTAAATGCTTTATGTGCTTTGACCTTATCATACCACAAGTATGCATGCCACCCAAATACATTGTTAAAACCTTCTAAGTCCAAAATGTCTGCGTTTTCCAGAAGCAGCCATTCTTTCAACCAGCAAAAAGCTGCTGATTCATAATAAAGTATAAGGTCTGGCAGGGCAAATCCACCTCTTTCCTTTGCATCTGTTAGTATTTTAAATTTTATTCTAGGCTTCTTGCCCTGCCAGACAAATCTAGAAATATCTCTCTGCCACTTCTTGAAACAGTCCATTTTGTCCACAATTTGCAATGTTTGGAACAAAAACAACATTCTAGGCAATACATTCATTTTTATCGCAGCAATACGACCTAGCAGTGAAAGCTTCAAATTTGACCAAATTTCTAAATCTTTTTTCACTTCGGCCCAGCATTTTTCATAGTTGTCTTTAAATAAATTCTCATTTTTTGCTGTCATGTTAATCCCCAGGTATTTCACTTTCTTAACCACTGTTAAGCCTGTCTCATTCTGAAACCTCTCTCTCTCAATCGGTGTTAAATTTTTCTCTAAAACCTTGGTTCAAAGGGTGAAAATCTTTGGTTAAAGCTCAACAGGCTTTACAAATTGAACCTATGCAGTAGAATTCTGCAGCAGTGAATTCAGTGGAGCTTAATCCTAGGAAGCTGTGCTAGGGTTGCAGTTATACTGATCCTAAGGAATGGGGTTTTACGCTATCAGCTGCTGGTAAGAATGAATCAACACAGCTGCCTTAGTTTTTGTACTCTTCTTGCGTTAATATGTTGATGATTTGCATTAGAGAGAATGATTGAGACTGTGTCCTGAATTCTGGGAACTGTAGTTTGTTATGGGTTGCTGGGATTTGTAAACCACAGCGTCTGGAATTATTTGTGAGGAAGAATATGATTTGAACGTGCTTTAGTGTGCATTCTCTAATCATGTTTTGAAAAGGTTTCTGTACCTGAACCTAAGACACTGTAAAAATGTATTGTTTCTCCAAACTCAGCTATTCCCCCAAATGATAAACTGTCTCCTTAATAATGGAGACTTCCCACTCAAAGCCAAATCAACTGTTAATGGAATAGGAGTGTCTTCCAGATGCCCAGGCTTCAAAAAAAAGGGGGGGACGGGGCAAGGAAACAATAGAAATATTGAAACAGAAGGCTTCCTCTTGATCTAGTTTCTTTGCAGATACTATACAGTGGTACCTCGGGTTACGTACGCTTCAGGTTACAGACTCCGCTAACCCAGAAATAGTACCTCGGGTTAAGAACTTTGCTTCAGGATGAGAACAGAAATCGTGCTTCGGCGGTGCGGCGGCAGCAGCAGGAAGCCCCATTAGCTAAAGTGGTAACTCAGGTTAAGAACAGTTTCAGGTTAAGAACGGACCTCCGGAACGAATTAAATACTTAACCCGACGTACCACTGTATTTAGTATACCATACCAAATCTTGGGCATCAATGGTCCTTGTCAGGTGGGCCCACCTCATCCAGGGATCTAGCAATTGTGCAGGTCAATTTGCCACAACAGAGCAAGGACTCTTGTTTTAATGGGGTTGTTATAATGGTAGGATGAGATTTTTCTTTCTTTATTTACAGGCAGAATAAGGCAGGCTTTTTTGTTCCCCATTCCACTTAGGAATCACTGCCTATGAAACATCTTGAAGCAGTCTAAAAAATAAAAACATATGTAAAACAATTTCATATATAGAAACTTTTTTTCAAATCCAATACAAATCAGACTGATATAAAAACATTAATTTAAAAGGCTAATTGAGAAAAGAAGGTCGTTGATATGTGCCCAAAAAGACAATAGAGAACCACTTTCTTCTTCTGACAAGTACGGTAAATGGAGGGAGTTTCAAAGGGTAGGTCCTGCAACACTAAAGGCCCATTTCCTACATCTTAAGCATCCTTATGGGGACCATGTTTGCCTTTGAGACTCAAATAGTAGGTTACCCATTGTTCTCTCTTGAATCTGTATAGGCAATAGCCTTCTTCAGTATATATTTTTAAAGAAGTGCTGTCTAATAATCTCTGAGCACACCACGAAGACCGAAACAGGAGTGTGTGATGTATTTACCAATCTGAAAAGACAATAATCTTTAATTTACTTTTTAAGTGCACCTTTTAAAGGTGGGAAAGCACATGGGTATAATGGGTGAACCTCTCTAGGGATTAGGGATTAAGTAAAACAGAAAGCAACACAGCTGGGCAACATAAAGAGGTTCGTGTTGTCTGTGATCTGGTGGTTTATAAAACACACACACCAGAGCCTATCTGAGATGACTTGATGTTTCCTAGCAACCTGAAATACCTGTTCTTTGAAGCAGGGTTGTAGGCTTTTATCTGTGTAAGAACCTGTTTAAATGTAAACACACTAGCTCATCTGGTTTGAGTAATACTTCCCCTTATCCAGCTGTCAGTGTGACCTGCTGCTAAGAATCACAACATAATGTGCATGTGGGGAATGTTGGTATGGCTTTTCCTGCCTTTTGGGAGTCTTTTAATTAAACCCCAGTGATAGAAATTTGAAGATAAACTCTGCACACGCTAGCAAAGGGATTAATGGGCCTTGTATTCTAATTGTTCTGCTGCTTTTGGTTACAAAGGAGAGGGAGAAATGGGGGAGGGGGAGGTGGGACCGCAATAGCCTGGTAGAAGTTCTCTGAAAATCCCTATCTAGATAAAGCAAAAAGAAAAGTGTGGTAGCAGACTAAACTCTATTGTAATGCCTCTCATGTCTGTAATAATTTTGGATATTCACTATAGGTTTTGTGCAACTTAATCAGTTTTCTGGGTAGTGGAAGGATAAGGCAGAATGGAAGCCACATATCGTAATCATTTTTCATAATTCTCTCTTAAGTTGCAGCTTTACTTTACAGGATTTAAGGTATGGGAGAAGTTCAGCATTGTGCTATTACGATTATTCCGTCAGGGCAAACATTTATGCTTGCCAGATAGAACAATCTCCCCTCTCCTCCCCCTGCATGTTGTTCTGGGGGTTCTCCTACTACACTGCCCAAGCCAAATGGGGAGGGGGGTGCAGCAGGAGGAGAGGGGGGCAAGCACAGCTTTGCTAGTGGTAGCTGTTTGCTGCTACCCATTTAAGAATCTACAAGGGCAAATAACGAAAAATATATAATGGCATGTGGTTCTTTTAAATCATAATGTTAATTAGAGCTGCCACTTTCCCTGCACCCTTTCCCCATTGTATATAGGGTGTCCCCCCACCCACAATTAAGGAGCAAGAACAACTATGTGAAACATAACTGTTGGTTAAATTGTTTTTCCTACATTGTACTTGCAGAAAGTACTATAGAGGAGCTGCTGGTTAATGATTGCCAAGGGTAAATAAGCAGGGCAGGGCAGCAGCAAGCAGCAGTCAAGTGGGTTTCTCCCCCCCCCCAAAAAAATACAGTGGTACCTCGGGTTACAGACGCTTCAGGTTACAGACTCCGCTAACCCAGAAATAGTACCTCGGGTTAAGAACTTTCCTTCAGGATGAGAACAGAAATCGTGCGGCAGCAGCGGGAGGCCCCATTAGCTAAAATGGTACCTCAGGTTAAGAACAGTTTCAGGTTTAGAACGGACCTCCGGAACAAATCAAGTTCTTAACCTGAGGTACCACTGTACCTGGAACAAACTTGGCAAGCATTCAAAAATGTACAGTGGTACCTCT